CTAATCAATCATTTAACTTAAGCATATGATTGATTTAAATCAATTAATACCCATATATATATAAATCAATTTTTACCCATATATATAATTTTACCCAACTCGAATCGGATTATTCGAGTAATCGATGAATCGATAAATAAAATATAAAAAAAAAACATGTATATCAATTGCAAAGCCAATTACAAAGAGACTTATATAACATGGTGTGAATAGAGGGTGAGTAACCTCAAAGGCAGGCAATTAGTTTTGCAAAACTAGGATTTACTTAGCAATATCATTGTCCCCTAGTGCATGCTGTTGAAGTTGAAGGTCGTATCTACTTACTAGAAATAGCTGATAAAATTTACCCAAAAAAAATTCCATGAGAAGTTTCGGGAGAAAGGACATGAGGAAACAAAATCATTTACTAAAACTGGATAATGTTTTGCCATATATGATTGATTGATCCATTTTAGAGATCATTATTCCCATGCAGAACTGACAGGTGATCCAGTTGGTTGGTGGACTCTAATGTATGTTCTTTAGTTTCTTGACATTAATCTAACGAGTTGTATAAAGGCAATCAGGTTTCACTCATCTTTAGGCTAGAAAATGGTTTTGCACAGGAGAAAATATAAGGAATCATAAGAAATATTTAAAGGGCATGAGAAAAAGTAGAAGGCAATAATTGATTGAATGTTCACTCAATTAGGCAATCAGGGAGTTTACGGCCAAGTTCGGGGAGTCCAAAAGTAGAGAAAATCGAATTTGATATACATCTTGATATAAAATTTTAAGACAATGAATATATATAATTTTTTTTATATCATCCTTATTTAATCAATGATTTGGAATTCAAGTCTCTTAAAATGTACGCACATGTATTAAAGTTTGATAGGGAGAGTTTCACCACTCATGTGGTCTTATTTAACTCAAATTAGACTAATCGAATTATCGATGAACCGTTAGTTAATATAAAAAAATTTCAAATATTTCCCCCGTTAAATATAAATCCCAACATTAGTATGTCATATCCTTCAAACGAAAATCTTGTGAGTATTTGTGGGGTTATCTCTTGATAATTATGAGCCTATGTTTTACAATATGGGTTTAGATACAAACGTGAGTACTAACAAACCATGCAAACTGTTCTCATTTGTTGTGCACTTAAGAAAAACCCAAAAATAAGAAAGACATTGATCACTAGTAAACTAGGTAACAAATTAATAATTTATCAAAAAAAGTAACAAATTATAATAATAAGTTTGATACTACATTCCAACTCAAAATCTTAAAACAATAAATCTATAGATTTTTTCAATTATAAAATCCTCCTAGGTTAATTCATTCCTAATCATATCAATATGAGATTTTGTTACTCATCAATTTCTAATACTCTGTTCAAGAAATAAGGTACATCCATAAAATAGAGGTACCCAATAATAACGAATTCGAGAATGAAAAACAGGTTCATGCCGGGCCATATTGATTAAAACAAGTACTTGACCATCAATGAATTTGAGTTGAATTATTGTAGTCAGCAAGTTGGTGAGTGGACCATGCGGCACAACTACGCTAACTTATCCACCTGTCACCTTTCTTGCAAACTTATCGATAACGATAGATCTTGCCATTCCACAAAATGAAAAATTATAGATTCATTTTAGGGTAATAGTTTTATCATGTAGTAGGAGATAATAATTATCTCCTACTAACTTATTTGTATAAGTGATATCCACTTTTAAGGGAAGAGAAAAGAAAAATAGAGTGAGACCCCTCTTGAATTTGTGTGTGTAGGAAATAAATTTTTTCTTATCTAACATAAGAATAATAAATCCCTTCATTTTATTATAGACACCACACCACTCACTGCATTGAGTTTCGACCATTTCCCAAATTACAAAATAATAATAGTAAAGTTGGGATATGGCACGAGCACGTGTGCTAGGGATGTTGCTTCAAACATAGGGAGTCCTGACAGTGACATAGCTATAATCAATTACTATTCTAAGAAACCAAAGTGACCAACTCATTTAGTGTAGGATAATGTGTCCCCTCCACATATATAGCAATATGAGTCCATGGCCATTAGATATAGCTACCAATAGTATCTGACCTTTACCTAATTCCAAAAGGAAGAAGAAATTTTGAGAATGAATGAGTGAAGAGGTTAGACGGGAAAGGGACATGAATCATAGCTCATCATATATCCTTTCCATCCTTTTCCACACCCAACTTTTCCACATGCAAACATCTTAATGGTCAGTCTTTACTTTTTGACCATAAAGGTGGGAGTGTTGTAAGCAGTTTCCATTGGGAAAATTAAATAGCATGAAAATACGTTAATATTATTGAAGGCTATAATTAAGGACTTACGTTGATGGTTTTTGTTTAGATGCAGTGCTACACATTGAAGTGGTAGTGGTTGGTCGAGTTAGTCATTTGATTAACCAGAATACTGTAATAGGATCAAAATCGTTCTCAACTTGCTCCAAGCTGTCACATGAAGTCTCTATTATGGTGAATGAATTTGATTCATTCGAATCTTCAAAATTGGTGCAATTTGCCAAATATTTTTCTTTCTTGATTAGACCAGGGTGAATAGATTAACACATTCATTCAGTATTATTATTATTATCTTTTTATATCAACTGCACAATTACTTTTTTGAGGTGAGTCGTCTCATAGTATTTTTACAAACTGACTATGAGATCAGTGGCGGACGTAGAAATTTTAATAAGAGAGAGCGAAAATAAAAAATATTATATCATAAACAAAAGTAGTTAAAATACAATACAAATTTAATATACAAAAAATCGAAAAAAAAAATCTATTACAGAACTTAATATCATTTCACTTGACTCTTGCTCTACGTGTTTTCATATTGTTAAACTCATCTATAATTAAATCCGTGCTAAAACTCAAAACAATTTCTTTTTCAATGCATGTAATCAAAGAAATATATGGTAAGAGCAAGGTCATCTTCTGTACATCTGTAGTAGGTATATCTGTCATTTAACAGGTGACACCTGGATAAAAAAAATATTTTTCTCTCCTTTCTATACAAGCATGACAAATATTTCTCATTTTTTATTGGATAGATGCACTGAGCGAATGGTACAATAGTAGTACTATAGATATTTCCGGTAAGAACGTGAGCATAAGCATGGAAAATTGAAGGGAAAAGCATGTACAACACAATAGTTTCATCATCATATTTTTTTACATATATTATATAAAAAAAATTCTCAAATTTAAGGGAGGCGGGGGCCCACCCTAGCCCCCCTACTGAGTCCGCCCCTGTATGAGACTAATTTCGTGTCGTGACTTAGTCACAGTTAAGATCATTGTCCCTCTCCAAAAATATATTTAATAGAAATCGAAGTTAAATTATCTCCTCACTCTTTGAAACTTGTGTTGTTAAATGAGTTACACGTCTACACTCATTGGGTTCAATATTTTTTTTCTATTCAACTGAAAGAATGAAAAATTTAAAAAGAAAACAGAAACAAATTTCGCAGTTTAGCGGTAAATGTGAATACCTTATTTTGATCGGATCCATTTATATGTATTAAAAATAAAAATAAAAATAAAAATTGTGTGTTAAAATTTTCGGCTAATTTTGTATCAAAAATATTTTTAGTCCAAGATTATATTTAATGTGCTTTTCTTTTGTCAACCCAATACTCATGTAACGTGGTAGTTGCCTATTTCTATTTCGTTATTTTCTTTTTACTCATTTACTTTTATTTGGTGATAATTTGAAAATTATTCTACGAAAATTTAATTTAATTAATTTATTTTTCATTGTAAATTCATTTTTGGTTATATTAACTTTTTTATTTTATTTTTATTAAAAACTAAAATTTATTTTTTGTATTTTATTTTTCATTGTAAATTATTCTTGGTTTTATTTAGGTTTAGTTTTTATTTTTTAAAAATAAAGCAAGTATGTTATTTATAATTATCAATGATTTGCACACTAATCCAAGGTAATTATTTTTAATTGGACAGATTAAGGTGGGATTGAATTTTCACCCTTATGTATACATAATCAAACTCTTATACTTGATATCTTAATTTTTTAAATCAGTTTCTAGATAATTTTTTTAATAATGTTTCATAAATTAAATGAAATTGATACCAACTCTATTATTTTTATTTAATATGAAAGTGAAACTGTAAGTACGATGCAATGAATCATGAGGATAATTTTATAATATGGAAAAACTTCAAAAGATACTGTAAATTTCCTTTAGAATCACTTTCTCATTTTTTAAAATTTTGAATTATTTACACTTTTGTTTAAATTAAGTTTTTTTATCACTTACTCTCCTAACTTAATTTTTTTTATCACTTATCCCCTCCCCTAACATAGGGGATTAGTGATAAATAAACTTTAAATTAGAGGTGTAAATGATTCAAAATTTTAAGAGGAGTAAACTTACAAGGTTGTTTTAAAGTTTTCCCGTTAACTCATAAAATAATAGATAAAACATGATAGGATAGTCTAAGTTATCTTATTTTTTTTGTATGTGTACACCAATTAGGCCCTTAAAATTATAGTTAAAGTAAGAGATAACAATAAAAATAAAAAGTAATACCCAAGTCCTAATTTTTTAACCAGGAGAGCTTGACCACTAAGTGGGTCTACATTATTTCATTTGGATCCTTAGAGACTTAAGTACGTGTATTCAATTTGATTTGGTTTAGTGACCCCAATCATCCAGTCTCATGCCAACTAAGAATTTCAATGGTGCAGTGAGAGATGCACATCAAAAACAGGTTTTTTTTTAGCATTTTGGGGTGTGTGTGACACTACCAGTGGCTGCAAAGTGCAAAGTTTTGTATGTGTGGGTTGTGAAGAAGGGATGCTTTGCTTGATGCTTTGAAAAACAAAAACAAAAGGCATGAGGATGTGATGCCCATTTTTCTAGTTTTAGTTTTTATCCACAACCTTTGTTTTGTAACTGATAACTTTGTAACCTATAAACATTCACAACCTCCATCTTCATCTCTCACTCTCACCTTTTTTGTTTTGTCCAAGACATTGGCTTCGGAGTTTGAGGTACAAGTCTTGGAAGGATTCTCCACATTCCCTCGTCCCAATCCACCACCACCCTTTGTTTCTTCCCAAGTTCTCTGCAACATTTCCTCACTTTTCTAGGCCCTTGTCTCACGGTACACGCATCTGCCTCTAAATTCTTGAGCTTTTTCGTTCTTTTCTTTAAAATCTCAATGTGGGAATTTGTATTGGATTAAGGATTTCAATCTTGTACCAACTTTTCTTTCAAGTTAAACCTTCAATATATGTTCTCATTCCATCATTGTTAATAATAATTCACCACTTCTATATCATCAATAAATTCACTTATAACTTAAAACAAAAATTTCTGATTTTTTCTTTTCAAACATAATGGCTGTGTTAGTCCTACACCTATCATAATGCCATTCAGGAGTATTGTTCGTGACTTCAAGGAGATTGGAGAGGGCATTAGCAACATGTATAGAAGAGGGGCTGAAGCTAAGCATGTGCATCGCCATGGAAAATCTCTCATTGCACCAGAATGTTCCTCACCATCACCGTCACCACCACCACCATCATCGTCGTCATCGTCACAGAGCCGGTGGGCTAATTTACCCCCTGAGTTGCTCTTAGACATAATTCAAAGGGTGGAAGCCAGTGAAACTTCATGGCCTGCACGCAGAGCACTTGTAGCGTGTGCCTCAGTTTGTAGGTTGTGGAGGGAAATAACAAAGGACGTGGTCAAGACACCAGAACAGTGTGGTTGGCTCACTTTCCCTATATCACTGAAGCAGGTAATTTTTACCCTCTTATGTGATTGATATGTATATACTTATTTGCTTCAAGATTGGAAGCCACATGGTACTAATGTTGTGTGATTACTTTTTATTTTTATCTTTGTTGATCCCTTCTGTGTTTATCAGCCTGGTCCAAGAGACACTGCAATCCAGTGTTTTATTAAGAGAGAAAGGGTGACTTCCACATATTGTTTATATCTCGGTCTGAGCCCTGGTAATATCCTTGTGCTCACATAATTTATTATCTACATGAAAATAGTTCTGTTCTGTTATAATTTCATTAACACATCAAGGTTTCTCTTTGAATCTAAAATCATTATATTTATTTATTTAAATTTTTTTTTTTTTGGGGGAGAGAGTATTAGTGTCTTCCTTACAAAGTTCTTTGGCCATTCTGCTTTCTGGTGAAGATTAAAAGTTTGATCCACTGCTTTGGCAGGATAAACTAGTAGAGAGACTTCCCTTGTGTTTTCTTATTGTAAAGCACTTCTACTAATGAATGATGATTAAAGGATATTTGTTAAATGTAACTATAACAGCGGTGATGACAATTGGGTAGTTTTTGTAATTACCAACTATGAAATCCCATTTTTAATTTTGAGTCTTGTTTTAATCTTCCAGTTATTTTTGGTTCATATTCTTTTCCAATCACCTTGGAAATGAGTTATTGAATGCTACAGCTAGGATATGTTTGACTGAATGTACTCTCCTTCCAATGCTCCTTTTGTTCTTCATGCGAGAATTGTGTTGTTATATATCTGCAGCTCTTTCTGGTGATATGAGCAAACTGCTATTGGCAGCAAAGAAGATTAGAAGGGCAACGTGTACAGAATTTTTAATATCATTGGTTGCTCATGATTTCTCTCGTGCAAACAATACTCACATTGGAAAGCTGAGGTTATTTCTATATCTATCTGGTCCTTATCTTTTTGGCTGATGCATTATTATTCTACTGTTCACTTGATCTGTAAGCTTTGAACAGGTCTAATTTTCTGGGCACCAAGTTTATGATCTTGGATGGTCAACCCCCACATGATTCCTCACTTCCATTAAATTGCAAGTTGCAGCAAAGAGTCCATCTGAAGCAGGTACTTCCAAGGGTTACTGCTGCTAACCATAAAGTTGCTACAGTATCTTATGAACTCAATGTTCTCCGTACAAGAGGTCCAAGGAGAATGCGTTGCACAATGCACTTAATCCCTATATCTGCAATCCAAGAAGGAGGAACTGCCCCTACTCCTTTGAAGTTCACCAATTGCCTTAATGAGCATGCATCTACCATTCCCATTTCAAAAGGAAAGAAGCCACAAGTTAACTTTGGCTCAACTGGCACAGGCAATAATACTCCAGAATCAACCCAGAGTGCAAGGGAACCATTGATTCTGAAAAACAAAGCTCCTAGATGGCATGAACAACTGCAATGTTGGTGCTTGAATTTCAAGGGAAGAGTAACTGTGGCCTCTGTGAAGAACTTCCAGCTTGTAGCAGCTGCAGAACCGAGCCAAATTGTTTCAGTGGCCGAACAAGAGAAAGTGATACTACAATTTGGAAAAATTGGGAAGGACATATTCACCATGGATTACCGATATCCCCTCTCTGCTTTTCAAGCCTTTGCAATCTGCTTGAGCAGCTTCGACACAAAACCAGTTTGTGAATGATCATATGACTTTTATAGTCCTGTCACTCTTTTCCTTGATATAAAATGTACATATTTTCATAAGAAAGGAGAGAAGCTGGACAAAACAACTCTCATTATAAAGAGTGCTTTCATTCTGCAGGCACAAGTTTGTGTAATGCTAGCTGTTAGGATTGATGTTTAATGGCAAGTCTATTTGTCTGCTCTAAGCAAGTTTGTTAATTTCCCATAGTTTTATAGTTACGAGAGACAGTTGCAGCAAAGTACCCCATTGCGCCTAATATCTTTTCTTGTAAATGAATGGTTTAAAATAAATAAAATGACATTACATATTGTGGATGATGTTAACACTTAAACACTTACATGACGAAGTATTTAAATCCCAGTATCAACGTCTAAAGCTAATGAGATTGACTCCTTATTTTACATTTGTTACAAAGAGTGTTACAATTTGTGTGTTTGTTCTGTCACAGAATCTCAATGTCTTCAATATTCTGGCCACAACTGAACTTGCAACCATGACGGCGAGGTTTGTCAGGGTTCTCTGGGTCAGAGTCACTTGGTTCCAGGAAAAGGCCTCTGAGGCATCTTCTTTGAACCATGGGCTGGTAGGATGACTTTTGAGCTCGGCTAATGTTGAACTCAGTCCTGTGAGTTTCCAGTGCTGGCTCATCATCAAGTTTAATGGGGTTTTGTGGAAGAGTCACTTCAACACCTGGGTCTCTTTCAGTGATTGAACCATGAAACATAACTGAATTATTGATACTTTGTATGTTGCTGTTGACATATGCTTTCCCCACTTCACCTTGCTCTGTTGAATTGTGAGAGTCTTCCTCAGTGTTTTCCTCTGCATCTGTGGTCACCTCAGTGCTCTCTTCTGGATCAGTCTTGTAGGCTCGTTGTATGTGGATTGATCCCTCTTTCTTGGTTGACTCAGAACCTACGTGCATTGTGGCTCCTCTATTGTCACCAGTCAGAGTTATGACACTAAATGGTTTCTCATCCATGGGTTGTGCTGGGTGCACAGAGGCCAGTTTATGAACAAACTTTGAAATATCATCTTTGATACCTTTTGCCAATTGAGCCTTTTCAGGTGATATGGTTGACACATTCCTGGTCCCTGGATCTGTTGCACTCACAACTTTTATGTCTTTCCTACTAGGGCTGGATGAGACAAACATCACCTTTCTCTCCACAGTTTCTCGTGTTCCATGCTGCTTCTTATTTGCACTAAATGCCCTGGTACATGGATCTTTGGCTTTTGTTCCTGAAGAAGATGCTATGGTACGTCGAGTTTGTTGTCCAGTAGTTGTGTCTTTGGCTTTTCCTGCCTTAATGGCTTCATGCACCATTTTCTCCTTTCCTTGGGTTTCACGGAATTTGCTTTTTGTTTTCTCCAAAGGGACCTTTGGTGTTGTTGATCTTTCCACATCACCTAAAGTTGTTGTAAGCTGTGTAGATAGGTTCTCTGGTTGAGAAGAGGTCTCAGTTGACTCGGGGATGATTTTCAATGGTGACTTCATCTTTGGTTCTGCTTCTTGTGCCAATGGCTTAGCCACTGCCACAACCATCTTCTCTTTTTCTTCTTGAAAGATAGATGATGCAGGCGATGTGCATTCTTCAGTGTTAGGCTTTAACACCAAAGGAGATGATGGATGAGGCTGAGAGGGTGGTTCAATTTTAGAAACCAAGGGTGAGGAGGGCAAAGAAGAAGCTTGATGAGAAACTGCAGGCTGTGTTGACATCCTCTCTGATGTCTCAGGGGACTTGGGGACGATTTTTAATGGTGACTTCATCTTTGGTTCTACTTCTTGTGGCATTGGCTCAGCCAACTTCTTTTTTTCTTCTAGGGAGGTAGATAATGCAAGCAATTTGATTTCTTCAAAGTTAGGCTTTGACACCAAAGGAGATGATGGATAAGGCTGAGAAGGTGGTTCAGTTTTAGAAACCAAGGGTGAGGAGGGCAAAGAAGAAGCTTGATGAAAAACTGCAGGTTGTGTTGACATCCTCTCTGATGTCTCTGGGGACTTGGGGATGATTTTTAATGGTGACTTCATCTTTGATTCTACTTCTTGTGGCTCTAGCTCAGCCAATTTCTCTTTTTCTTCTTGGGAGGTAGATAATGCAGGCAATTTGCTTTCTTCAAAGTTAGGCTTTGACACCAAAGGAGATGATGGACGAGGCTGAGAAGGTGGTTCAGTTTTAGAAACCAAGGGTGAGGAGAGCAAAGAAGAAGCTTGATGAGAAACTGTAGGCTGTGTTGACATCCTCTCTGATGTCTCTGGGGACTTAGGGATGATTTTTAATGGTGACTTCATCTTTGGTTCTACTTCATGTGGCATTGGCTCAGCCAACTTCTTTTTTTCTTCTTGGGAGGTAGATAATGCAGGCAATTTGTTTTCTTCAAAGTTAGGCTTTGACACCAAAGGAGATGATGGATGAGGTTGAGGAGGTGGTTCACTTTTAGAAACCGGGGATGATGAGGGCATAGAAGAAGCTTGTTGAGAACCTGCAGGCTGTGTTGACATTCTCTCAGGTAGAAACGATGTCTCTGGGGACTTAGGGATAGTTTTCAATGGTGACTTCATCTTTGGTTCTGCTTCTTGTGACACTGGCTCAGCTACTGCTACTGCCATCTTCTCTTCTTCATCTTGAGAGGCAGATGATACAGGCAAGGTGCTTTCTTCAGGTTTAGGCGTTAACACCTCACTAGTGCGCTCTGAGGCCGAGGGAGATGATGGATGAGGCTGAAAGGCTGGTTCAGTTTTAAAAACTGAGGATGAGGAGGGCACAGATGAAGCTTGTTGTTCAGAGCCTTCAGGCTGTGTTGACATCCTCTCAAGTAAAGAGGATATCTCTGGGGACTTGGGGATTGCTCTCAATGGTGAGTTTACCTTCAGCTCAGCTTCTTGTGGTATTGGTTCAGACACTACCATCTTTTCCTTCTCTTGTTCAGATGCAGGCTGAGTGCTTTCTGAGGACAAATGAGAGGGAGACTGAGGTTGAGTTTCCGGGGATGAGGACTCAATATAAACATGAGATGGAGAGTCTGCATGAGTTGAGGGTTGGAGTGATGGCAGTGGAGAGTTAACCAGGTTTGGAGATGTTGATCGAAAAGGGGGTTCTGAATGAATAGTCCCTGGGGACTCAATGATCACTGAAGATGTTGTTGGCTCAGTTAGATGGGGTGGTGAATGATTTTGAGTTTCAGCATTTGGGTCTACATGAGTTTTGGTAGGACTAGGAGGAGACTCTAATGGGGTTATCACAGAAGAACTAGATGGCTGTTGAATGGGTACGTTAGTATCTGATTGGGTAGGAAATTTTGATCTATCTTTTGGATGACGACGCAATGATTCTTTAGCAGGTGCTCTTGATGGCCAAGGGATCCTAAAACGAAATGAATGCTTTTTCACTACCATGGATGCTTATTATCTGATTACACAAGACGACGATATTAATATGATGCTGCAGATTGCAAAGGTGGTCTTATATATGTTTTACTTTAGCTCACAATTTCTCATTGCTTCTTTCGGAGAATTTCACACTGATTCCCTTGAAAAGTTCAGCATTTGTTCTTTCCTTATTTATATTGATGTTCTAATAAAATATTTGCTAGCCATTCTAATGTTGTCACGCTAGAGAGGAAAGAAATATCTCTTGCCTCTCACAAAAGGAATTCCCATTCGATGTAAAAACAACCAAAAAGTGCCTTTCTTCATATACTCCCTTGAGAAAAGAATCCAGAGACAATACAGAATCACAACTGGCGAGGAAAACGATGACAGCAAGCTATTCCTTTTAGCCTTCAAGGCATTGCCAATATGAAATACCTAACGTGGAGTAGATCCGTATGTCTTGGCCATATCAGATGAAAATCCTATAAGCAAATGAATTTCAAGATAAGTTATTTTACCTATATTTTTTTATGCTTATTTTAGCTACTATTTTTTAACATTATTAAATCAGAATCTCAATTAATATTTATCATTTCTCTCTCATTCTAAGATTCTGATCAAACGATATTGGAGAATAGTAAATAAGATAGACATGGAAAATAAAAAAATAGAATAAGATATCCCATAAATTTCAGCATATTAATTGACCATGCCACGACTGAATTAAGTTTTTTCACATGTGCAAGCACGAAATGAAGATACGAAATTCAGGTACTAAAACAGCGTGTCTCTTTATTTTCCTAGTGTTTGCCAAATGAATAAAGTAATTTTATTCTATAAAAAAATAAAAGTAATTTTGTTTTCAATCTAAATAAATCAAAGGAGGAATTTGATAAATCTTCATTTTTAGCAAAGCACATATTTATAGCAGTCCCAACATAAACCAGTTCATTCTTTATCTAGTTGATACATTAGCCTACAGGTACAATAAGACCTACAACTTTTGCTAAGATCTACCACTTCTCTCAGAGTGAGCACAGAGACCAAAATTTCTACAAAAACAAGTTATTTGAGAGTGCACAGGTTGAGAGAGGACAATCAACAATTTGCAATACAATCTAACTCCTTAACAAGTTGACAGTTCATCAGAAACAGCCAAACACGTTCTTAACATTGACTGAGAAGCTTGATGTTATATATTCTCTTGTGAAGTAAACTTTAGAGAAAAAGGGTCACAGATATAATAAACGAAAGACTTCTTCTCAATTATACCCCAAAGATCTGATAACTTTGACAAATTGCAACTACTGCAAAATCTGGTAATCACCAATGGCTGGAAAAACAGGTTTACCATCATCCAAGCAAGGAACATAGAAGCCAACACAAAATTAACATAAGAAATAACCTCAACCAACGGATCCCATGCTATATAACAAAACTTGAGCATAAACAGTAATCCTGACAAGCAAATCAAGGGAAAATCTGAAACTTATTCAAGATAAAATGAATACTTAGCAGGAGATGTTGAACCAATATTTTATGAACCCTCAAAATCTGTTTCTTTTGATTGATATCCTTAAACTCTTCCTAGAACACCTCTAAACTTCCAACTACCAGAACTCAAACAGAGTCCATAAGATACTCTTGACGTTCATGAGCATACTAGATAACAAAAAACATACTTTCTCTTATAATACTCTCATACTAACCTTCCCAGCATCAAGAAAGTGCATAAGCATAAAAGGTTCATCCAGATTGTTCTTAAATGCATCAGACAAGTTGTTGGATAAGTTTAAACTTCCAATATATAAAACTCAACACATGCAATCAGGATATATAAATCAAATAATCAATATATGCAATAGAAGGCATGAAGTACTGAAGTGTACTAGACAAGTCACCATACGAAACTTCCAATAGAAAATTCGAAATATCTAGCCATGCATTTTAGATAACAAGAGTTTCAGGATACTGATCATGTGCAATTTAGACATAGCAGTCAATTAGATCACACCTCACACGATACTGATCATAGTCTTTATTAGAATTTGAAGTCATAAAGAATATTAGATAAAAGTATACAGAATACCTGTAATCCTACTCAGGTAGGAAATGAAATGTTTTCAGAAGTCTCTGAAGTCTCTAAGGGATGTTTGGTATAAGTTTTTTGGATGAAATGATGGGAAAGTGGGGTAGGAATTTTTTTTTCTCGCAGCAATATTAATGGATCAGTTTTGTAATTTAATTTTTCTCAACCAACGACTCACAAGAATGGAACCCACCACTGTGAAGGCAAGCAAGAATGGAAGCCACGTTCGGCCACTTGTCCCCTATGCAGTTGGGTAAAATAATGAAGCAACAAATGATATAAGGAGAACCCCAGTCCATGCCCACACTTCAATGGAAGAAAATGGAGAGGGCTTTTCCAGAGGCTGAATAGAGGAAGAGAGGTGAGGGAAAATGTTCGGATACAAAGAAACGAACCAGGAGAGAGGGAGACAAATGCAGTGATAAAATGAACGTTTGATGACTGAGAATAGATTTAATATTTAAAATGATGGATAATTTTGTTATTTTGGTTTAGATTCCCATCAATATTTTACTATTAACCAAACATAGCATCAGTAAAATTAATCCAACTTTTTCAGTAAAATTTTGGCCTATCAAACACCTTTTGTTAACTTACCCGGGAAAAAAATATTTCCCATCATATTACCGGAAATCTTTTTTTCCAGTAAAAAAAATATCTACTCCGCCACCTAAATGCAACCATGTGCCAGACATGCAAGAGCTGAATGTAAAAGCAGAACAAATCATGCATCAGTGACAAATATGCCAAAAAGGATATTGTATATATGAAAAAGAAAATGCATATTCAAATTACTCTATTATACAAAGGACGAAAGTTAAAAAGAATAATTAAGAGAAGTAAATTAGTGATCTGAACAGTTGCAAACAAGATGGCAAATTTCATTGACATGATACAATTGAGAAACTAACAACTTAACAAGAATAAACTAAATCCTTTATTGGTTACATGGCATGGCCAATCCAGCAGATTATGGCTTCATAAGGCAGTGCATTTGTGGGTCACTGGGCAGAGAAAAACTAAATGGTACTTCTCATGACCATTAAACTATCTCACAGTTGGTGTTTTGGGGCCAGGTGTAAAAAGGGCCCTCCAAAGCGAATTCGATGCAGTGAAACCCTGTGCTTCCATGACCCCATATATTCTTCGTGCATCCTGCTCAAACCCACCAGCAATAAGGCTGGATATAATTCTCTCAAATTCAGCTGGTCCTAATTCATCCTTCCTAGCTTCCAGAACGCCCAGAGTTTGAAGGGTCTTTTTCTCATTTCCAGCCCTTGCATACATATCACATAGACTCACTTGAACCTTAAAAGGAGGAGCCTCACCCTGCACGGAAATTTTTCCTATAATCTGTTCAGCCTCATCAACAAGCTGCAACTTACCGAACCAGTCCACAAGAACAGAATAAGTGGCAACCCCGGGCTCAAACCCATCATTCTCTAGCTCCAAAAGAAGATTTAATGCCTTGTCCAATAAGTTTTTCTTCTCATAAGCAGCAATCATGCTAGCAGTGCACCTATCATCAGGCTTATGCCCTAATTTTATCATGTAGTCAAAATTGATTCTTGCCTGATCCGGGTCACCTGCATTTGCATGTGCCTCAATAAGCAGGGTGCATGTCTCCATACTCTGCTGGAATCCTGCAAATTGCATAGTTGATGAAATTTGTGCAACGTTATTAACATCACCACGTTGAGAAAAAGATCGGAGCAATGCCATGTATATTTCCTTTGTGGGCTTAATATCTCTTGTCTCCATCTCCCTTGTTAAAGACACACCCAGCTTAGGTTCGCCAGCATTTACATAGGCCATAATCATTGAGTTGTAGACTTTTATGTCTGGTTGGAAGCCCTGGCTCGTCAAGATTTTAAATGTTTCTTTTGCACGCTCAAGATTGCCTCCCTTGCTGTACATTTGGACCAAGGCACTGGCTGTTGAAGCGTCCGGTAGAATACCATTTTCGTTCATCTTCTTAAGGATCCTCTCAGCATCATCAAATTGGTTTGCTTTAGCATAGATATCAATAAGCCTAGAGTAGTCAGATACATTTGTTTGGAAAGAATCTTCAGTCAATACCATTTCTGCCACCTATAAGCATAAGATTTGACAAAAATTAAATAAAAAATCCAAATAGGCATTACTTTATCCCATGTTGAATTACAGTAATTCACTTCAGAAAATATATGTATTACATGAAGGTTCCCACAATTTTCATAAGAAGCATACGGAAATATCTTCCTAGGACAATCTGTGTTCTCAATTAATAAGTAATTCATAATTTCATATAAGCATGTAACCATAAAATATGTGGCAAAACTGTTGTATCAGATCCAAGAATTAATGAATCACTCACTATCAACATGTACAATACCTACTTAAGTCTTTTTTATGCCATTGTAAGAATTCTCAGGTGGATTAATTACTCAATATTCTTACTATGTCATACAGAGTAAGAATGCAAGAAAAGGAGGATATAGAAAACAAGATAATTCAACAGCCTCCATGCTGCCTTTGAAAATAGGATGGATATATAACTAAGCTACGTTTAAAAGGAAATAAGTTGGATGCCACAGAGATCAAACATAAATTTCAAGGAACAAAACCCAGTTTTGCAAATAAATGTAAGAAAGAGCTGATCCATTCTCCAATGACACTGAAATTTGTAATTTAAATATCTTCAACCAAAATATCAAAAGGCAGAGTAACATGGATGGTGGTATGCTGTCTCCATTATGCATACATGTCCCCCATCCTGTCCTTCATTTCAAAATAGAGACCCAATACTTATGTCTAATATTGCCATTTCCTAATAATAATAATCCGTTAAAGTGTCAGAACAAATTCATACATACAATTCAAAACTGAAAGGCAATGCGGTAGTAGACTGATCTGGCTAAGCTACTAAAGATATCAAACCATTTGTGTACCTTGAACTTGAAGTACAAAGGAGGATTTTGCTTTTTCAATGTATCAATGTAAGAAAAGCTCTACACCCAAAATTCCAACTAATCGTATTCTCAACACAAAGTATGTTATAAACTTCCAACCGTTATTCCAAACACATTAATATTTAATATTGTAGCGTTACTAAACAACTCTTTTTTTATATTAACATTTTTTGGGGATACATAATTAATTAGTCATCATAACTTGTCAACAAAATCTCTAGTTGGTGGCAAACGAGGGTGGGCGAAGTTGGTTAAGGATTAGGCTCATACCCCATAAGGGCGTGAGTACAAATCCCATTGGCCAATGTGAGAACCTTGTTGGTGGTACGATCTGTAATCCCTCGCAAATATCCTCAAAGAGGTTGGATGTCTGCCCTGGCCTATGGGATACCGGCGACTAAGCCCACCTAAACTTTTACCTACCAAACAAAAATAATTTCTGGTTGGTGAGTATGGCAGCTGCTTAACTGGCCAAATATTTCCACAATACTAGACTTTTGCTTCTGTGACTGCAGAACAGGTCCTTCCCTAAACTTACCAATAAAGGCCTAAGTAAATCAACATAATCACTTAAAAACTACTTCAGTCAATTTTCACTGTGATTAATCAGTCAATCTGCTTGCACATCTCACAAGTTAATGTTTCTCATGTTGTTTGAGATAATTTTATCTCCTACACATACATAAAAGTGTGTGGGGGCCATGTGAGAAGAAGAGAAAAAGAAAAAATATGGACCTCAAACATTTCTATGTGTGTGTAGGAGATAAAATTATCTCCTACAACATGAGAAAAATTAAACCTATATGGGGCAGAATAATAAGTCTCACCATATCTTAACCGCTGATTTACGTGCATCTAACGGTTAAGATTTAGTGGGTCTCACTCATTAATTAATTATTAATTCCCAATAAATTTCAATCGTTAGATGGACGAAAATTAACGGTTAAGATTTTGTGTAAGACTTATTATTTTTACACCGGTGTAAGTTGATTCTATTCCTATATATATATATATATATATATATATATATATATATATATATATATATATATATATATATATATATAAGGGCAGGATCCTTTGATACCGGTGTCAAACTTTGAAATTTGACACCAAGTCCTAACCGTTGATTTCCGTCAATCAAAGGTTATCATTTATTGGGAATTAATAATTAATTAATAAGTTTGATTCCCAATAAATGATAACCGTTGATTGACGGAATCAACGGTTAGGATTTGGTGTCAAATTTCAAAGTTTGACATGTGAAATGATCCTATCTCATATATATATATATATATATATATATATATATATATATAAACCGAGAAATGTTTCCCTCTTCCTAAACATGTTTCTAATTTTATCATTCTATGTCAATACTTCGGCATTTCAAATGGCAAAAGAGTAAACAGCAAAGTTATCTCTTTGTTAAGATTTAATTATTTTAAAAAAGAACATACAATATACTTGGGACAGAAGATGTCGGCTTGTGCTCAACAAAATACCTCCGGATAATCAGCAACTGTATATATTCATGTCCAGACATTCATACACACAATTCATCATGGGAAATTTCAGTACTGTCAACAACTAAAAAGGCAATGCGTTAGTAGACTGATCTGGCTAAGCTATTAATGATATCAAACCATTTGTGTACCTTGAAGTACAAAGGAGGATTCTGCATTTTCAATCTGTCAAGTAAATTGATCCAATCTACCCTGCTTGGTTGTAGAAGCTCTATCCACTCAGCCAACAGTGTTGACAAGTTATCATCCTCCTCCTTCAATGACATAATTTTCTCAGTAACAAGTTTGCATTTCCCAGTTATTGGCTTTGCCTCCTGTGACCAAAACACTTGTTCTGCCTCATGGATCCTATCAGCCACTTGTGCCCACTTAGGATCAGAGAGATCAAGCCCATAAATCTTGTACCTTATCTTCCCTCTCCTCTTGGGAAGTGTAACAACCTTAGCCTTCTCCTCAGTAACATCAAAACCCTTGCTCTCTGTTCCCTCGTGTTCTTTTTCTTCAGTTTGCGCCTCTCTCCTTATGCGCTCCAAACCTTCATAGAACTCTTGTTCCTCCATTTTCTCACGTGCCCATTTGAACCTAAGCTCTCTGAGCAAATCCCCACGAATGCCAACTTCACCAGCAAACCTGCACATCTCTTTCACTTCTTCACACTGCAAGAAACCCTTCAATTTCTCCTTCTTCCTCTCCTTTTTCATGTCTTCCAAAACCTTGTTGCTAACCTCCCACACCGTCCTCCACAAGTCCTCACTGAAATCCCCCAAAGGAAACGACGACGTATTTGAACCGATGCTGCCCTTTTCCATTTCGGACACAACACTTTCAACGATGACGAGAAGCATGCCATCAACGGTGGGTTTATCAGAATTCGGGTACGCTTCCCTCACTTTCTTGCGCATTATCCACACGAAGCGCGACAAGAACTCGTTCGTCGTACCATCATCATTAACGTCGTCGTTTTGCTGGTAATGGAGTTTTGGGTCAATGAGCGAGTTGCTGAGTTGACCCGAATGAAGGTGCCTGGTGAAAGGCGAGACGCGAGTTAAGTGAGAAGAAGGAAAAGTGGCAAGTGTTTTTATGGAAAATGGGGATTGTAAGATTGCATTGAGTTTGTTGATTGTGCTCCTGGAATTGAAAACTAAAATTCTCCAACTCATAGTCTCTGGTATTGATTAAGTTTGATGCCACTGAAAGTTAGGGTTTTACGTTTATGGCTGACACTGTCACTGATACTCAGCAAAGTAAGAAGAAGAAGAAGGAGGAGGGAGCAATGAAATGAAACTAAAAGCCCAAACTCATTTGCAATACTGTGATAAGCCCAACATCGCATTGAAATTGAACCCCTTACCACGAGATAGGTACGTTGCACGTCCAATATGACACGTTATTAAATTTTGATATATTAAAATATGTTTTGATATTAAATGTAATATATATTATATTTAATATTTAATAATTTCATAAAAAATAAAGTTAAACTTATATACCCATTAATTTTGTAAAAAAAACAAAAAAATTACAAACATTTATATTAAATTCAATAAAATGTTAATCGTACTCCAACGAATTTAATAGTTGGAACTAAAAACGTAATGCAACGTAATCTGTGAATCTTTTTTTGAGTCTTTGCAACACGTATTAGAATGTTGGAAAGTGTCGGACATGACACGTCAAATTTTTTTGAAGTATTCATACCAAGATAGTATATTTAGCTAGCTTAAGTTGAAAAGAGAAGAAATTAAAAATAATAATAATTAATATATGGGATTAATGTTTTTCATGCTGTAGGAGATAAATTTTTTTTTTACACATATATAAAATGTGAGTGTGGCTCATATAGGATCATGTGAAGAGAAGAGAGAGAAAAAAAATATAGGTCTCATATACTTTTATATGTGTGTATCTCCTATAACGTGAGAAAGACTAATGCCTTAATATACTATATAAATGAGATAATTATAGGAATTATAGCTATTAAAATCAAAATTTGATGATATTTTATACACACTGTAATTATTTAATTTTTTGATTTGATCAATTTTACCTTAGTCATTTGGATATAAAGAGTAACTCAAAAGTAAGTTAAATTTAATTTAATAATTTGAAAATTCGAGTTCCAGTACTGTGAACGAGGATCGCTAAAAGGAGAAAAACTTCAACGAGATCTGTGCTCTTCTTTATTAAATAGGAAACCATTTTAGGATTTAAAGAAAAATATAAAAAAGAGTATGGATAAAGAGGGGGGGGAGAGGAAGCCTAAGTTCGGTGCTTCAAGTGCATTGAAGATTTTCCCCGCTAAAAGATGTAACATAAGAGAAAAATATTATTGTATGATATTGTATTGGATAAGATAATATTTTTAAATATTTTAAAAATTAATATATTAAAAAAATTATTTTAATATATTAATATTGAAATGATATATTAGTTCTTAAAAATTGTATTTGTAAGCAATATTAATACATCAATCCATTATCAGGTCTAATCACATCCCTTAAGTCTGATTAAGTTATACATCATTTTGATGTATTAAGGGATTCTACTGTATAAGTTATACTATACGATTATAAGCTTATACTATCATAACGTATAGTATAAACTTATACTATCAAGTCTTATACATCACACCAAACACACACTTTGATATTTATTTTTATTTTTTGGGTAAGCACACACTTTGATATTTACTTCTACATCCATGCGAGCGATAGATGATTATAATTTATAAATGCTTTCTTACATACGTATAATATAAAAATGATTTATAAATTTAAGTTTTTGAGTAAAATGATTGCAACCACGAGATCCTCAGTTTGATCCACCAACTTTTTAATAAAATTAAGTCAGAAAAATAGCATAAAAATATACAATATTCACACTTCAAACATATAAGCTCTTGCATTAGAGTTAGAGAAATATAATATATAAATAATTAAAGTCTCTTCACTTGTAAGCTTTTGAATTCAAACATATATAATGGCTTTTGTTAAGAACCTTTGTGGGACTATATATCTCAACAGGTTTTAAGAGTTGCTATCTCTACTAAGATAGAGAATGGAAAGTTGATCTCCAACCTCAACGTTGCAATGTGAATAGCTTCGAGTTCGAGTTATACAATTTTCATATAAGTGATGGAGTGAGGGAGGAGCTGGCGTAGTTAATATATTATATATGTCTTTAGGTTTTAGCACTATTTAGGATTTTATTATTATTATATAATTTGTAATGGCCTTTCAAAACTTACAGGAGTCTTTCACTTTGAAGTTTGAACATTATTACTACTTTTATGTCATGTAAGAAGATATGTAGCAATTTTGCTCCCGCTCAAAAATTTTTCTATCTCCCACATTTCATCATTTGCAAATTCCTGGGAAAATACAACAAAACGCCCTTGCACATGGATCTTTAGCCATTGTCCTGAAGCAGATTCTATGGTATTTTGTTGCCTAGTAGTTGTGTCTTTGGCTTTTCCTGCCTTATTGGCTTTGTGCACCACTTTCTCCTCTCCTTCGGATTCACGGAACTTGCTTTGTTTTTTTTCCAAAGGGACCTTCTTCACTGTTGTTGATTATTCCTCATCACCCAAAATTGGTGTAAACTGTGCAGACATACTTTCAGGTTGAGAAGTGGACTTCATCTTTGGTTCTGCATCTTGTGGTACTGGCTCAGCCAATGGTGATTTCATCTTTGATTCTGATTGGGTAGGGGATTTTGATCTTTCTTTTGGACGAGGCAATGATTCATTAGCAGGATTGCCAAAGAATCCTAGAACGAAATGATTGCTTTCTCAATACCATGGTCCATGTGAATATGATGCTGCATCTTGCAAAGGTAGTCTACATATACATAATGAATGGTTTATACCTAGGATGCATAATGGGGCATTCATTATATATTTTTACTTGAGCTCACAATTTCATTTTGCTTCTTTCGGAGCTTTTAACAGTGATTCCCTTGAAAAGCTCTCCATTTGTTCCTTTCTTATTTATCTTAATCAACATCAACAATACATTTATTCCAAAAGTAGATGAACTCAAATGAAAGGTACGAAGGGATATAAATAAAAAAAATAAAAAAGTGCATGTCTTCTATCTTAATGTTGTAATAAAATATTTGCGGGGCATTCTAATGTTGTCACAAAAGGAATTCTCATTCCATGTAAAAGCAACCAAAAAGTGCCTTTCTTCATGTACTCCCTTAAGAAAAGAACGCAGAGACAATATACAGTCACAACTGGTGAGGAAAACCATGATATCAAGTTATCCCCTTTGTCTTCAGGGGCATTGGCAAAAACTAAAAAAGAAAATTATGGGGATACCCCATTGTTCAACATTAAACATGAACATCCACAACATGATGTGGTCTGCAGTTAAATTTAAATTTAAAGATAATTTAATTCCCTAACTCCAATAAACCAGAAATAACAATTCAAAAAGCTCAAATTAACCAAAGTGGAAAATGGGAAAAACCTTCATTAATGTAATATGTATTATAACCCAATTTAAGGCACTGTTTTTAGTTTGTTACACTACCTGGTTACTCAAAATTCCTAAATCCTTTAAAAAAGGGAAGTTTTTTGGCCCACCATTTCTGTTTACTGATTTTACTAATAAATGAACTTGCCTCCGAATAGCTATTATGGCTGGAGGAATACAAATAAATGCATCTAATCTCAAGTTCTAAATTCTAAAACTCAAATTGAAATGCTTGTTTCCAAGTCACACAGCAGCTTCTGTGGACACTGGACAGTAATATAGTACAAGCAAGACAACCTCAAGTACTTAGTAATCCTAAATCTCTGACTTTAGTCTTAATAGAGACATTGACTTGATTCTCACGTATTGCTTCATTCACAAAGGATTGGTCATGACATATTCATGTTTGAGGGAGAGGCTTTCATTTTGAAACTGCCAAATGAATTTCTCATATTTGATTAACAGATATAAAAGGTATTCTAGAAGTTCCTTCTCCTTTTGATGTGTGCCTTTTATATGGTCAAGTTGCCTCTTAAGAGTTGCTTTCTCTACTAAGAGAGAGAATGGAGAGTTGATCTCCAACCTCAAGGTTGCAATTTGAATAGCTTCAAGTTCTGCATTCTCCATAGAAGCTGAGGGTGGCAAGTTCTTGTCAAGCAGTGCCAGTACTACTTTCCTAGCCTCGTCTTCAGCAAATTCCATGGAAAATTTTGTATCCCTAAGATCGTGTAGTATTGAAGATATCTGTATGCCAATTACAAGTCTCAATTACCAAGTTACACAAATCACTAAGTCATAAATGAAAGGTACAACATATGGAATATAAATAACACTCCTCTTTAAACCCCAACTAATAAGGATAGGGATAATTCTTGTACGCAGTTTTATCCTTACATATTTGCACTTGTTTCCTAGATTCAAAAATGTGACCTTTTGGTTACAAAAGAACAGTAGAGGCTCACACTCTTTAACATACGGAATATATAGCACAAAATAACAGAGAAGTTATAAACGTGTTACAATGATGGGTTCCTATTCAAGAAACAGAAGAATTCTGTGCAAAAGGCTCATTGACAAGTATTACCAACCTTAGCAGCCAATGGTATTGTAACCGTATTTTGAATCTGAGCCAAGTACAACTCAAAAGCATTTCGTATTTTTTCACATCTTGAAAGTATCTTGTGCGATGTGATTGCCTAACCAGTTTGCAAATTAGAAGGTTAGTTATTTCAAGTTATAATATTTGATAGTATCCAAAAGGAGAATGAAAAAGAGACAATTATAACTCAGTGTTCAAAAACCATAGCAGACAATATTATATATCAAAGGTTCCAAGTTCTTAAAGTACCAAGTAGAGTTTACTGGACTCGGAACAGAGTTTGACAATTGACTTGGCTTTATCCGAAGTGAAGTGCAATGAGCATAACGTTTGAATTGCTAATGCACAATTCGGTCTGGCAGATTCGATGGCTAATATTATATGCAAAATTCTATCAATGAATCCGTGAAGCTCTAAGCATATTGAACGGTGTACCTGCGCAAATGAAAATTTGAACTATGTATAATCATATGAAGGTAATATATACCTATACTTTACATAATTTCATCTCATGTGGCGCTCTCCATGTTAAAAAATTAGCTTAGCTATCTCCAATTTTATCATTCTATAAGCTCCAATTCGGAATTAGTCGCATAACAGTTGAAGTTTATAGTAAATATAATAAATAAATTAGGGTAACAAAATCTAATATTGTTATTAACAATTGAATACTATGCTATTTCCACAATCAAATCATCAATTAATGAAAATCTTGCTATTTAATACAACGATATTAGAACTAAAACTCAAATGGTCTAAAAAGCTGTGATTTTTTATTTATTTTTTTCTGAGAAAGCTATGATTAAATTTGACAACTGTGACATACCCTTTTCCTTAAAAATTAAAAATTGTTGGTGATGGTGGCATTCACGATGACCAAAACAGAGAATTGAAGGTACCTTAGCTTTACAATGGGTGGGAATTGGAATCTCCAACGCTTCAGCGCAGTGACTGGCCATTCAGATCTCTGTATATTTGACTCTAGATTTGAACTCAGAGAGAATCACCACAACAGTACTGGGTAAGAGCAACAAAGAGAAGAAGAAAGGTAATCATGGGTGAGGTGACACGTTGCAGTTGAACTGAATATATTCGTTGAGCCATTAGACATGTTAAGGAGAAGCAGTAAAAAGATGCACTGTGCAGTTTAGTGTGAAGATGTGTTTGGCTTTTCGAGGAAAGTTGTTCTGTTTGTTTTCAGTTTGTTTGGAATCGGCAATAGTTTGTACTTTGTAATAGCATGCATAACTAATTAATTAAGACAAATTTTTTTGTTTTGGGCTTAAAAAAAATAAACTTAATGATGTTGAGAAGTAATTTAATAAGTTCAACATCTGGTGCAGCTGATAAGGTAACAACAAAATAAACGAAGGATTAACGTTTCAATTACCACAGTTAAGGATATAAATAAGTTAGGTTAGATTAGGCTTTGCCTTAAATAGGTTAGACTCTTGTAAAAATATTGGATCTGGCTTGATCTCTTAGTCTGTCTGTATAGATCTCAAATTACAAATCTAGTCTGACCTATATTTAAAAAATAAAAATTTGGTCTAGACCTGTTAGTCTGTTTAAACCTATTAAACATTCAATAATTAAAATAATAACTAAAATAATATTCCTTTATTATTCAAAATTATTAAAATAATAATATATTTTTTATTTAAAATAAATAATATGATATAAGTCGGTCTGTAGGCTTATAGGCTCGATATATACAAAAAAAAATCTATGACCTATTTTCTAAATAGATTTTTTTAAATGTCTAGGTCTATTCTATTTTATTATTTGTAATAAGTCAAGTATAACTTAATATAAGCTAGATCGTAGGCTCCTATAGGCTTACTTAACTCATTTACATTCCTAACTACAACCCACAAAGAGTTAAAGTTCTCCCACAATTTCAAAAAATACAGATATTTTAAAAATTTCTTTTATTTTATATTATAAATTTTACTAATTTTTTTAAAATTCTAAAACAATATTATTTTTAAATAATTTTATCTCCGAATCACAGGAGAAATATTTTTCCTTAAATAAAATATCAATTCATAGTTAAATAATAATATAAAAATGTATATATTTTTATTCAAGTATGTTTTATTCAATTTAAGTTTTGTCGAATCCATATTGAGATGACTTTCTTAATATTATTTTTACCTTATATATATCAAAATTAAAATCTAAATTATTTTTATAATAATAGAAAATTTTGAACCTATAATTCTTTATAAATTTGTTTAACTCTTTATTACTAACTTAATCATAATGACTTAATATTTTAAATATTAATTTAATTGGTAATGTGACCAAGAAGCAAATAATATTGAGTTCAAAAATTTTATTTAGCGTATGGATAATTAATGATTAAATGTTAATTATTATGAAATACTGGTACCCTTAAAAAAAGGTATAAAGGGAAAAGACTCATCCTGACTGATTTGATAAGAACATATTGACTCATCCTGCCATCCTGGTCTACATTGACTCTGGTTTAGCGTGCAAGACTATACTTAAGATTTTAATTTGAGGCCGATAATCAATAATTAACATGATTAACACCAAACGGTATATTATATTTTTTGCTCTGTTTATAGGAAAAAGAAAGCTAATTTGGCTGCGTTTGTGTTGTCACCTTTTTCTTGATTTTTGTTGACTTCGTCTTATGTTGGGTTGGTCCACACAACACACATTGTCGCTTTACTTTTATTTTATATTATTGTTTGGTAGGGTGCAACCGATTAATCACTATTGTTTGATTCTACCAATCATATTTGTTTGAGAGAGGTTGAAAACTTTTCTCAATCATAGGACCGGCCTTGCATTATATATATGTCATTACTTCGAGCAGATTTAATGAGGATCATATTATAATTTTTATAGTAAAACCTAATTTTGGTTCTTGAAAAATATATCATTTATCAATTTAGTCTTCAAAACTAAAAATTTCATTTTCCATCTATTTAAGTCTAATATCATTAATTGTAAAAGCTTGTCAATTTGAATTATACAACTTAATCATTAAACTCAAGTTTTGTTGTTTGGCCAATCTTATACATCACTTGGGGCCGGCTTGCTTGTGTGAATATATAAAATAATATTTTAGAGTAGTTGTATACTTTTTTTAGATGAATTTTGATCCCATGAAATCATTTTAATTTATTTGGCAAAGTTAGACGTATATTTTATCTAATTTTTTAATGTTTTAACTTTTAAAATTAACATTTTTTAAATTCTAATAAATGGAGGAATGAAAAAAATAGTAATTTCAAATTTTAAAAACTAAATTGATAAAATTTATTCTTAAAAAACTAAATTAATAAAAAAAAATATTATTCATGTGATGTTATAGGGATGTTTTAATTCTTTGACAAGTCCTTGTTGATTTTGGTCATGTTTTAATATTTGGACGTACGTATAGCGATATATGTTTCTACGATAAACGCGTGAGATATTCTCCTAGTTTTCATTCTTGTCAATAACAAGTCTAGCTTTCGGAGTCTTTCATGTTTTTTACCAAAGAAAAATTTATAGAATTATGTACCAAAATTTTTTTTTTATCGAATTGTTTCATGGACAATCATCTCAAGAACTTTGTGGAAATGCTACCACAATAATGTATCGATTAAAAGAAAATTATAACAGAAATGCCTCGCAGATGCTCTGCCGTGTAAAAGCCAACGACTAGGTCAATATTGGTCAAGAGCTTTATTCTGAGGATGAAAAAGGTGTTATTCCTAGTAGTGTAAAATCTGTGTTTTTTTTGGTAATGATGGTATCAGTCAAATAATAAAGATCACATGCAATCACAGAAAATTAAAATGTAATATCCAAGGTATAAAAGTTGTAGAAAATCAAATTCGAGCACACTATTACATATTGTGTCTTTAGGACAATTTTGCCCTCTCAATGGTGCGTAAGATTCGTGGACAAATGTCTCCCAAGATAAAACGGATTATCTCTGTTTCGACGGTGGCACTACCAGAAGAAACAACATTGGCGGACACAACGAACGCTGATCAATCTCACAGAATGAATGCAAAAGATTTCAAAAAATATTTTGACAGAATTTTGGTACAAGAGATAAATCAAAAAAGCTCTTATTTTTTCTGATTTTCTTCCATATTTATAAACCATTACTAATTACGATGAATGATGTCTATTGGCGGTGAAGAGTCATGTCCTTTCATTATAAAAATTCCAACAAAAAGATCAACAACATGTGGCCCAAACGTAAAAAGAACTAAACCTTAGAACCCTTAAGTGGACACTTAATATAGTTAACTTATATGTTGAATAAACAGTTTAAAGTACTTATGTGAATAGACTCTTCGTCTGTTTGGATGTTCTTTTTTTAAGCTAAAAACTACTTATAGATACAAGTTAGGTCAAACAGGTTTTCAGAAAAACTTTTATAATAAAAAACTTTTTTTTATAATGAAGAAAAAAGCTAAAATTCAAAAGCTCCTAGGAGGAGTTTTTTTAAGCTCTTTTCTACTTTTCTTGAATTATGTGCATTTTTTTGAAATGAAGAGCTATAGAGATAAAGAAAGAGATTTTTTCTGAAATATGTGCTTTTAAGTAACTTTTAAGCTAACTTTTTTAAATAATCACCAAATAACTTTTAGCTTTTTTTTAACCTTTTTTTTTAGCTATAGCTTATAAGTAACTTTTAGTTTAAGAAAGAAATGATCCATGCTCTCTATTTCTTTCACCATAAATATTAAACAAATTAAACGTTGCCTCGAAGATATTCAACCAAACTTCCACTTTGGTCATAAATTTTATATGGCACCTCAGTTTCATACATTAATTTAATTAGCTGTTACTTTTATTTTTTTATTTTTTTATTTGGAAATAACTGTTACTTTAATTGAAGTAATAGTACATTGTCCTAAGAATATGTATGGCATAAACGGGTTTGAACATCCCATTTTATTTTATTTAGTGGAAGGTTTGAACTTAATTCATATGAATTGCAACAATGGAACTCACACTGCCATTACAAATTATACAATATGTGATACCCGATTACCTATCAAGTGCTTTTAATGTTTCTCCTATATATAGCCACTGTTAGATTTCTTTTCAAGGTAACTACTGTTATATTTAAAACATCAGGTTTATGTTATGTATGCAAACGTTAGTATATGAATTAAATAATGGACGTAAGTTTTATCGGTTTATAAATATTTATTCCTTTCTAGAGATAATGAAAGCTAAATGCTGCAAACGTTAAGATAATTTTAAACTATAAATATAAATTTACTAACCATTTCAAAGCCACCATCAAAGCTTTCTAGTTACCAGCAATCAAGATCGTATAATTTTGAACTATGGATACATTCAACAATTTCTGTCTAATGGTGTTTTTTATTATTAGTTCTGTTTTGATGGTCAAAACAGGACTTTCATACGATGGTCCCCAACCAATGGAAACTAATTATGCACCAAGCCCATTGTCATCATATGAAGAGTATTTAAACAACTGTGGAAAGAAGTTATCCCCAAGATGTGGTGATGAAGTGTTCTTATATATATTTTTTGGGAATGAAAGCGTTAGGACCCGTTGTTGTGTTGAACTTGTGGACAATGTAGGAAAACGCTGTCACGATGATAGGACAAAATACATTCTAAGACAGCCAAAGTTCGAGAAAAACAAAACCAATATTTTGCAGAGAAGTGAGACATTATATAAAAAATGTTATGCCATTCCACCATGGATTTGCATGGCGTTGCCTTGGAGTTGTAACTAAAAAGTTTGTACAATTTACAAATTGTCTTTTCTAATAAAGAATAAAATGATATTTTTATTTATAATTTTTTGACATATTTCTTGAAATTAATCATACACATTCCAAGTTTAAAGGACTCTTGCGTGAAGATGTATGTTAGAGAATAATATAAACTATTAAAAAGGACCTCTTCCAACAACTTAAACTCTTAGGTTGAATTGATTTTTTACATGATATTATAGCTGAAGTGGCCAAGTTGTTATGAGTTCAATCATCACCGCCCTCATTTTGTGGTGGAATTAAGTAAGCACAAGGTAAATAAAAAATGGACATGTGCAGCTGTTGTGCAATTTTGCAATCAATTATATTAATCACACAAGTACGCAAGTGCATGTATCAACAAGTAATAAAGTGAATATGTGAGTTCAAGTATTGATCCCACTG